AAAAAGAGACCCAGAGGGAGAGAGAGAGGCAGGGGGGGGGGGGGGGGAAAAGGGTAGATATTGAAAGATTACAAGCTTTAGTGCGTGAATGGGCTTTTATTCTTAGTGTAATTATCATTGTAAAAATGCGATAACATCATCATTCTTAGTCAGTGGGTGCATCCTAATGGAAAAGTAATTTAACAATAATCTGCTAGAAACCAGACGTACAAAAAGCTGGTCCAAAATCGACTTCGACCTCTTAATATTTTGCATTCACTTAACACATTCTTTCAGTTAATTTAAATATTTTTGCGATCAATTGCAAGATAAAACGGGTTTTATATAAATAAGTTCAAATAATTACTGGGCAAAGTTGTTCGTTGTCCTAGTAGTAGCTACTAGTAGAGACCACTCGCCACGAATCTTGACATAATTACAAGATTTATTTTAAGTTTTAAAGTGATAAATAACGTAAAGGGCTTGTGACTCGTTTTCTGTTGCGGGGCACAGCTGTGGGTTATCTGAGGACAACGCGGCATCACTGGACACTTTGCTGTTCAATTATTATTATAATAATTTAAAATTAGCTAATAATTAATTTAGTTGAATACCTTAAACATCTTCTGCAATTACCATAAACTTTTACAAAGTACAACAATAGTGTTCCAAAAATGCGCTAATACATCACTTAGGACAAGTGAGACTTTTTATTTACAACATAAAAGAGAAAATGGAGCCGGCACTTACGGTGAAAAAAGTTGTTATTCCATAAAATGTAGATATAACGGTATCTGTGCCCTCAAATCCACCGATTCGCAGTGCGCAACATGCGTGCGTAAAAAGTGCCCAGATATGTCCACTCCGATCCGGCGCAGCAGGCGCAGCAGCACTCTATCTCCCTCCTGTCTCCTCTCCTTGATGCTCCAGAGTTGCAGAGTTCCAGTCCCCGGCCGATCCTGGTTCTGTGAGGAGCGACAGAATATTGTGACGTGTTGGTAAAGCAACAGAGTTAGCTATTTTTCCAAACGCACACTGTTATTTCGTCAGTGATGGAAAGGAGGGGCAGAGTGCCCATGTGAAAAGTGAATGAGACACCTTTGGGGGAGGAGGGAAAATGCTTTCATTTGGCCCAGTGCCCTCGAGGTACATCCCCATCCAAAGAGAACGGTGGGGGAGGTAACAGTGTCATTTTGGGGTAATTAATTTCCGCTAAGAACTGAGAAAAATAAAACTTTTAATTAACTCAGTATGGACAGAAATGTAAAACAAACCACACTGAACATTATTAAAGAAGTTCATTGTGTTACAATACCATTTGCTGCTCTTCAAATTGTCAGCACCATCTGCTGATGACGTTTCACTTTAATGGAA